TGACCTGGGTGGCCCCGCCCTGGTGAACACCTAAGGCGCCTCTCCTCATACGTAACAGGCATAAACAGATCAAAACATGGCTCAAGAACAACTCAGAACTCCAGAGCTAATAAATCTATGTGATGAAGAAATAGCCAAACTTTCAGATGCACAGTTCAAAACACTGGTGATCAGGATGCTCACAGAACTGGTTGATTTTAGTCACAAATTAGGGGAACATATGAAGGCTAAACTAATTGAAATGAATGGAAATGCACAGGAAACCAATAGTAATGGAAAGGAAACTGGGACTCAAATCAAGGGAGCAGACCAGAAGGAAGGAAAAAATGACCAAACAGAAAAATATAAAGAAACAAGAATTCAAAAAAATGAGGAGAGTCTTAGGAACCTCCAGGACATCTTTAAAGGCTCCAACATTCGAATTATAGGGGTACCAGAAGGGGAAGAGGAACAGTCACGAGTGGAAACCTTATTTGAACAAATAATAAAAGAGAACTTCCCCATTCTGGCAAAGGAAATAGACTTCCAGGAAATCCAGGAAGCTCAGAGAATCCCAAAGAAGTTGGACCCAAGAAGGAACACACCAAGGCACATCATCATTACATTAGCTAAGATTCAAATGAAGAAGAGAATCCTAGAAGCAGCAAGAGCTAAGGGGACAGTCACCTACAAAGGAGTCCCCATCAGACTGTCAGCGGATTTCTCAAAAGAGACCTTACAGGCAAGAAGGGGCTGGAAAGAAGTATTCCAAGTCATGAAAACCAAAGACCTACAACCAAGATTGCTCTATCCAGCAAAACTTTCATTTAGAATGGAAGGACAGATAAAGTGCTTCTCAGATAAGATCCAATTCAAGGAGTTCATTATCACCAAGCCCTTATTATAGGAAATGTTAAAGGACTTTTAGAGAGATAAAAAAGATGAACAGTGAAAGGACAGCAAACTCACAGTTATTAACAACCACACCTAAAACAAAAGCAAATTAAGAGGACAGCTAGATCAGGAGTGAACCATAGAAATGAAGATCATGTGGAGATCTTCCCTGTTAGCAACAGGGAAGTGGGAGGAGGAGAAGGGGAGAGAAGGTACAGAAAATAAGTAGCATAGACAGTAGATAGAAAATAGATAGGGGAGGGTAAGAATAGTAGGGAAATATAGAATCTAAAGAACTTGAGACACGTGTTCATGAACTAAAGGGGGGAAATGGTGGGGGAGGGGTGTGCATGGTGGAGGGGAATGGAGGGGGGAAATAGAACAAATATAATAGCATAATCAATAAAATAAAAAATATATATATATAAAAAATGCACCCTTATGTTAGCTTTTCCTCATTCCCTGTTTTATTCCACCAGCCCCCTATTCCTGTTCCCTGGGAACACTCCCCGGAATAATCTGATTCCTCTGGAGACTAAAACCTGAAACTCCTGCTTATAATGTTGTTGGCCGGACATTGTTCATGAGTCAGCTATTTTCTTAGTGATTCTGATGAAGAGTCAAAGGAAATCTAAAAACCAAATATTAATTTATTGAGAACCATTTCACAAAAGGGAAGATCAATGCCAAGTGCACAGAAAAAGAGATCCTGAGAGACTATGCTCAGGATCATATGATGATCATATGATGAGCATATGAGACTGTGTTCATAAAAGAGAAAAGCAACTCAAGGATCAGAATCAGTGAAGTACTAGCTAAACCCAATCTGAGTAGATTGAATTGCAATCTTAATCTTTTTACATTTTCTCTCACATATTCAGAACCTCTGCTCTCTTGTTTCTCTTTTTTCTAGCTTCCTGAATATATTAGCCAAAATTGTATTGCTCAGGGTTCAATACCACTTACTCTAGCATAAATGAGGTGCTAGGAAAATTATGCTCCAAATTTGGGTGAGAGTGATTTAAATCATTTATGACTATTTTGCAAATTCCAAGACAGTTAGAAATTTTTTTAACTTAACTGAAGACAATTAAATCATAGAAAATATTAGAATACACAAGTAAATAAAATTTTAAATGATTATGCTTCTTCCATCTTTATTGATAGAAAAAAATACCCTGATTTTATAAAGTAACATTCCCATTCATTCAACAAATATTTATCAACCGCGTTGTTGAGAATGTTGCTGTTAAAAAACGTTTAGATCTTATTCTCCACTTGCACAACTCTGGAGAAAACATCAATACATGGTGCTTGTACTGGGAGCAGCTGAGCCATTCTCTAGGCTCCTCACCTGAACTTGAACATGTATTGTGATTACTTCAGTTATTTCAGGCTAACTTCTGCGAATGTTACAGTAAACCTCACTTTCACTTCAAAAACACACACAAGTAAACTAGACTCACAGGAATGTGACTGTGCCAGGCACAGTGATTCCAGAATATTCTGTGGCAAGCCGCAGCAGTCCCTGCCTTCAGAGAGCTTGTATAAAGCTAGGTTAGGTTTTGAATTATGTAATATTTTTCTACCTTTTTGCTATCTTTTTACATCATCTGCTTCCTAACTTGAGATTTTTTTTTTAGAAAAAATTATAATGGTTTAAAAGCTGTTAAAGGACTTAAGAAAAAATATTGTGCAGTGCTGGGAAAACCAGAAAGATGCATGGAGAAAACATCGAGGAATAGAGGACATTGATTAGGAGTGAATTGAGAAACTCAGATTTTGGTGTAATTTTCAAAGCATCTGGTAAATTGGTCAGCTCATTACTAGCAAATTTTTATCATTGAATTCTCATGAGGCCTGGGCAGGGGACCTTCCTTCGTGAGGACTAGAGTAAGGTCAAAAAGCACAGATTTGCAGACATTTGTTATTGGTGGTCGGAAAATTAGGTCAAATGTGGCAGTACCTGTAGCAATGAAAGCACAGCCCTTGAGTACTTAGATTGAGAGCAAGCCAAGTTCATAGCAAAAGGAGCTACTGGAATGGAAAACAAAAGGAAGGGAAGGTCAGGATGCTGATGAGAAATGCCAACATTTTGGAGAAGGGAACAAAGCTAAAAATCATGTTATGTGGGCAGAACTGAAAGAGACGAGAGACTGACAAGTGTTGCCTTCCTTTTTTTACAATTTCTGTTCATGATCCCACCCTTCCTGCAGCCATTTGTGGTTATTTTTTGTTTAGTCAGTCCTGCTTTCTCATTTCCCTACAGACTCCCTGGAGGTGAGGGTAGCAGAGAATGTGAGAGAAAGGCTGGGAAGGGCTGAGGCTATGGCTTTTGTGGTCCAAAATCAATTTGGAAGGCATATTTATTGTACTTGGGAGGCAAAGAAGGGAAGTTTCTATGAATACTGCTTACAATTCTCAAATCATGGCCAATTTGTGACTTTATTAACAATTAGACTATTGCTTGCCATCGGGAGTTCACACAGTATTCTGCCTGTGACAGTCAATGTCCTTACCTCCACTTAACCACTTTTTAGAGAAAGCCTACCATTGTGGTCATGATGCTCTGAGATTACAATTATACTTTTAGTGCTTATTGGATAAACAATCATTACAACAAAAAACCAAAATGGTGAGTCACTTTTGAATTTAATCTGAGCTGGAATTTCTAGTATCTTAACCCCTAAAACCTCAGTATGTCCAAACCTATTCCTTCCCAGACCGATTCCCCACTTGCTCCCTTTCTCAGTGAATGACACAGCATTCATCCACTGAGTCCCAACCTAGAACCCGAGAGTCATTCTGGCCTCCTCTCCTCTTTGATGACCTGAGTGTAAAGTTTGTCTTTAACCGGAGCAGCCGTGCAGTGGTTTCTTAGGCAGAGAAATGAACACAGTATATACCCTATCTTTTCTCCCCTTCTTTTTTCTGGTTTTTCTTTCTTTTCCTAAGTCTCTCTTCCTTTCACAAATATTTACTGAGTATCCATTATAGGCTGGGCACCATACCTAATGCCGAGGAAACAGTTTTGGGCTTCAGTGGTTCATAGGTAGAAGCGGGAGCAGACACTTAAGTTGCAGTACAAAGTAATAAGACCTAAAGATGTATATACTAGGTACATTAAGCTTGTAGAGCAAATCAGCCCCTTCAAAGGGGTGCTGCTTCCTAAGTCTAAATTAGCAATTTTGAGATTGCTAGGTGGCTAACAAGAGAGAAACTCTCAGGCAGAGGAAGGAGCATATGCGACTCCGCGGTGGTGGCCCAGCTCCTGGTGGGTTGGGTGGTGTGTGACCCTTTCCAGATTGTAAAGTGCAAGGGGCAGTGGATGAAGCTGGTGGGTAGGCAGCTACCACAGAATGCAGAGAGAGCTTCTGTGGTAGCTTTGCTTTGATCCGTGTGGCAATAGAACATGTTAATTTACTAGAGGGGGAGGAGCCACCACAGAGAGAAAACTTTAGGGTGCTGGAGGAAGAAGATATAGGTTAGAACACTTCCTAACAAGATGAGAGGGGTGAGATTGAGAGCACCCATGGGTAGATGGATTAAAATGAACAAGAAGAGAGACGTGAATATAGGATTTGTGAGGATGAATTCACAAAATTATCAAGACCTTGAGGGGGTCACAAGTGATAGTTTTTATTTTTATTTTTTATTTTTTGCTAAATAGGAATCTAATGTCATGTAAGAGTTAAGCAGGAAAAATAGGATAAGGAGCCAGAGAATGCGAATGCTTTGACCCAGCTGCTGAGCAGAATGGAAGGCCCTGGCGACCAGGGACGTGAACCCTGTCCTTGGCTGAATGAGGAAGTGGGCAAGGGCTCCAGCTCCGTCCTGGCTGCTCTCCCATCTCTCAGGATGGAGCCCGTAGATCCACCTCTGTGATGTTATAACCACGCCCCTACAAACTTCAACTGGTATCTTTGCTATGGGCTGATCCCCCTTGATTAAGGTTCTGGTTTTTCCTCCACTTGCAACAAAGACAAACTATTGTGGCAGATGTCCCAATTTGTTAGAATGGAATTCTTTAAACAGTGAATGTGTTGAAATTGTTTACATAGAAGAAAAATACATAAGAAAATCAGTTCAATGGCATCCTATCATTCTTCCCTTTTCTTTTCTTCCAGAAGTCTCCTATGCGACTGCATACTGGATACCTGCTGAAAAGACAGTGCATGTCAAAAACGTACTAGACAAGAGCGGGGATGCCTATGGCTTCTATAATAACTCTGTGAACACCACAGGCTGGGGCATCCTGGAGATCAAAGCAGGGTATGGTTCTCAGACTCTGAGCAATGAGGTCATCATGTTTGTGGCTGGCTTTTTGGAGGGATACCTCACTGCCACGTAAGTACCCCAGTCCCTCATGGGGGAGAACTGTCAGGGGACCTCTGTCTTTTTCTGTGTCCAGCAGGGTAGCCCTTGTCTTCCGGAATTGTGTGTTAGTAGCTGTACTAATGTACATTAGTAGCTGTAGTAATATCTCCTATGACAGAAATATCAGAATTACATTTGTACTCTCAGTCAGTACCTGCCCCCAAGGAACAAAGTGGCCCGTCAAGGTACTGCTCAGTTGGCACGGCGCAGGCTTTTTAAATCTTGCCTTCTCCAGGAACGGTTTTAAGAGACAGCTAAGCCATCTCGTCCTGCTAGTTATTGTCCAGCAGAGAACAAGTAGGAGGTGAAGTGACTCTTCAAGAACCACAAAACAGAGAAGGTTAATTAAAAAAAAAAAAAACATGAGAGCATTTCTTTTCAACAGTCTTAGAACAATACTTTCGAGTGGGTAAAGAAATTTTTAATTGAAAATTTTAAATTTGAAACTGATTTTAAATAGAAATTCCGGTTCTATTATTACTTGGTTCTTGTGTCCTTTGTCTTATAAAGATAACAAAAATGCAGTTAATGGTGATGCAGACAGAACTCATTCTTTTAAGAGAAAAACTCTTCAAGGAAAAGAAAGTTGCAACCCATTTAACCAAGCCTCAGTCTTTCTTTGCTATAAAGTGTCTGGATAAGTCAGCTTTCTGTTTTTAACGTTCTGTGACCTAGATTACTGAGGGCAGTCTAACCAAAACTTATTTTGCACTGTTACCGCCTTGGTCATAGTAAGTACAATGCAGTCTTAATCGGTTTCTGCATTCTGGAGGTTATATTGGATGTTGGGTGACTGGTTATTAAGTTCTGGCTGCTTCTTTCAAATTTAAACTAGAAATTCCCATTTTTGTTTTTATGCCAAATTTTTGTTACCCTACCATTGGAGACCCTTCATATAGTATACTACTCAGAGGCGCATACAACTTTATAAACCCAGCAAGATATTTAAAACATGTTTCTGGCTGTATTACACATGTACAATCTGAACTTGTTATCTTTCATTCCAAATTTTTATCCACTTCTATATTCACTCATTTGATTGCCTTATTTGAATTGAATTGCAAATTTGAAGAAATATTTTTTATCAACTGACTGACTGGAAAGAGAGAGAGAAGCAGTGATTTGTTGTTCCACCCATTCATGCTTTTACTGGTTGATTCTTGTGTGTGCCCTGACTGGGGATTGAACCCACAACCTTGGTGTATTGGGACAACATTCTAACTAACTGAATTACCTGGCCAGGGCTGGAGAAGTAATTTGGGCAGAAATTGTGTGAATATAAGCATAGTAGATGAACTCATGCGTGCCAGCCATAGTGGGTTATTGAGGGAAACTGTGTGATTTGAAGACAGCAGCTCTAGTCCTGAGACTGTTGTGAGAATAAGCATGTCTGCCTTGGAGATGGTGTCCCTACCAGAGAGCTCAGGAGTGTGGCTGAGAGGACTTCGGACAAAGGTGGCACTTCAATACTCTTCTGTCTCAGGAAAAACTGGTTTTAACATTTCGCTTTTGTGGATGACTTTACCATTTCCCCCCAGTTCTTCATATAAAGCACTAACCTATCCTTGATTACCTTTATCCACTTTCTAAGAACATCCATAAATAAAGGAGCCATTTTATTAACAACTTTTTAAATACTTTTATTTTAGAGTAAAAATTACTTAAATTTTATTTCTTAAAAAAATAAGTCACTTAGCTACTGGTCACTAACTGTTTTATTGTTCTCTTTGCCTTTTGCCGTGTCTTTTCCAAGAAAATTCCACATGTAGAAGTCAGTCTTTTATGATTAAAGCAAATACACAACTTCCTGCATATTGTGATCCATTTTCAGGATCTGGCAACTGAGTCAGCCTTCTCTTCAGACCAGTAGCAGCAGCCCATGGGTGAGTGATCAGGAGAGAGGGAGAGGCCAGTCTCGCAACCTCAGTCAGTGCTGGTCCGTAAGGGATGATTGGGAAACCCTGGGCAGCATTTCCGCTGCACAGAACAACCAGAAAAGAGGGCTTTAATCTGAAGTACCAGAAAAGTCCGAGAGGAAGGCATCCAGTGGACCAGAGCAGTCAAAGAAGGCTTTGTGGAAGGGTGAGTTGTGGGTCTGGTGCTTGACGGATGAGAACCATTTTACTTGGCTGGGAAGAAGGAAGCAATCATTCTGGGCAGAAGGCAGTGGGACGGAGCACTGAAAACGGCCCTGACTCTGAAAGAGTACATTGCATTTACAAAGAGCGAGGAGTGGAGGCTCTGACTGAGCCAGCAGAGGGCAACAGGTTTAGAAAAGGCAAATGGGGGCTGTACTGTGGAAGGCTTTGGAATGTAGACCGCTCCAAGGTTATCCTCCTCTATTCCAAGCACAGAGTGCTAAGAAGTTCCGTGAGTTTAAAAGACGACTGCTCTGTTCGTCTTCATATTGTATTTATGACCATGGCAGTTCTCCCTGCCTGCTCAAGGATGGGCTTCCTGTATGTGGTACCAAGAATCTGAGGGACTACTGCTCCATAGAGACCGTGATATATCTCATTGAATAAGAGCTGCTGGTGAGCAGGAAGATGCATGATAACTGAAGGGAGAGAGAGATAACAGCATTTGTATGTTTGAAGAAGGGAAGGAAAAGAGAAAAAGAAAGAGGAGGGAGAAAAGGCAGCAAAGAAGGGAAAAGAAGAGAAGGAAGATGAAGAAGAATTGCAGTCTAAACTCTCTTTAAAAGGGCGTGTCCTCCCTTGCCAGGTAGCTCAGTTGGTTAAAGCATCATCCTGATACACCAGGGTGGTGGGTTGGATCCCCAGTCAGGCACATACACAAGTCAACCAATAAATGCATAAAGAAGTGGAACAATAAATTGCTGTCTCTTTCATCCTCTCTGTCTCTCCTTTGTCTTCCTACCTCAAATAAGAAGGGGCGAGTGTGCATTTCCCATAAGCTACTTTTCAGAGGCTTATGGGAAATTTTAAGCGCATTCCTGAAAAGTCAGATCAGTAGGGGCATTTCCAAATCAGCATTCATTTAAAGGAACAGCCTTGTGCCTAGCTGAAAGCTCAGGTTAGTGGGATGTGAGCCAACATGCTTAAAACAGACCTCTGGCAATGAGTTGGGGAAGAGGGGAGAGAAGGAGGAAGCTATCTGTTTCCTTCCTCTTCTTCTGATGTGGTCCAGGAGAAGGCTTGTCGCACATTCTGATGCCCAACAGTTTGCTTCGAGGGAAGAAGATAGGCCAACGGAGTCAAGAAGCTGGGCTCACAGTGACAAGCTCTAGCAAGGAGACAGAACAGAGGAGATGCTGGAGCATTCATGGGACTTGGACTCCTAGACCGAAGGCACCAGCAAGGACTGTCTGCAGTCAGCACCATGGCTGCACAGCCCACCGTCTGGACTGAGCAGGGAGAGGCAGTGTGGCTCCCTCTGAGCAAAGGTTCCCAGCATTCTCTCAAGCAAAGCAGAAGAGCTTACATGTCAGCTATCTCAAGGCTGAGGCTGTAGCCACAAAATCAACAGTAGAGAAGGAATACAAGTCACAGGCTATGCTTTCTGTTTGTTTGCTGGCTTGTCTTCAGCTACACATGGGCAATTGTCTACAAAGTAATAGCATCTTCTTACACAAATATCATTTTATCAACTTAAACCATACAACATCCTCCTAGGGACTTTTATTTGTGAAGCTTTCCCAGGTATGATTGACTCCACATATCAAGACACTGCCTTGAAGCAAGGGCATCTGAGCCTGAGCTGACAGGGAAGTGGGTTGTGCCAGAGGCCAAAAGAAAGAGCCATCTTGTCTCATTTTGCTCTCAACTTGGAAAGCTGCTCAGGCAGCTGCCAAGGAGTGGGAGCACTGGGCTGCCACCTTTCCCCACAGCGCCACGTCTACAATGGAGTGCTGTTCCTCACAGTCTCCTGACTCTTGGCAGGAGGAGGTGTCTGAGAAGATGAATATTGTGTGCTGAACAATTGAGATATTCAGATAAGGAGACCCATTTACCAACCCTGGAAGACATAATTTGCTCTTTTCAACCTATGGGATACTCGAGAGACCGAATGAAAACAGACAAAAAAATATTCTCACATCTTCCATCATTTCCTTTAAATTTGTCATTTCCTTGAAGTTTTACAACACTTCCAGTTAACAATTTGGTCCTGGGCCCAGCCCTTTGTACCTTTCATGAAGCTCGAGGTCATCTACCCTTGCTGCTTTGGCAGACTAATTTCATCCAGGGCGGTGGCGGCAGCAGCAGCAGATTCAGCTGGGCCATAGTTTGGATTAGGCACAAGATACTTTCAGAGGCTTTTCTTACTGTCTGGCACTTCCACATGCTCTCTTCTTTTCCCCGTCTTCTTCTACTATCTATGGCCCCACTCATCTCCTGGGGAGTCACTCGCTGCAGGCCTCACCATGCAAGCCTTCACTCCAAGAGGGCTCCTGAGCTATGCTGGGATGCCCCTCAGTCTCTCGCCCTTCCCCTTTCTAGCAACTCTTAGAGCCATGATTCCTGAGAACCAAATGCTGCCTCTTGCATCTCCACCAGCTGAAATATTGCCCAGCCTCCTAGATGCATCTCAGAGGCTGTCTTTCTGATGAAGCTTTTTCTGATTCCATTCCCACTGGACTGGAGCTCTGTCTCCCCCACCCCGCCCCAGCACCATCTGTTAGTGCCTAAGGGCAGGGTCCTATCTTATTCATCTTTGAATACCCCAGACACCTGGCCCAGTGCTTCTGCCCTCAGCAGAATTTAATTACATGCTTATTAGGTTTAATTGAATTCTGTTGTTGTTCCAATTCTATTAGAGATGAATTAGGAGAGTGAGATACATATTTCCATGCATTGTGTTGCCTACAAACCTTGATCGAATTGAGCTTCTTCCTCTGTTTTTAACTCTATGGAGTGGCTCCCTAAGAGTTGCCATTCAGAGTCTCTGATATTTCATTAATGATGTAAAATCTGTTAAATAGTCATAGATTGATTTTTAATAGAGTGAGT